TAAAACTTTTTCGTCTGATATTTACAAAGAATCGGATAGGCAATACAAAATTGTAGGTTGTAGACTTAGAATGCAATCAAGAAATCAACAAATTATAATCTCTAACATAATATAAAAACGTAATATCCCTTTATTTTCACTAGCTATTTACACTTCAGTGACACGACTGTAACCCAAATGTTGTCTTAACAAACCACTAATAACGTTTTCATTTTTCATTCAAACATTTTCTTTTTTTTTACATTCTTCCTCAAATAATAGTTTTGCAAAAGCTTCATTCCTCTCATATTTTCTCTGTGAGAAGTAGGGTCCAATGTAAAACTTATATCCAGTAGTGAAACCAACCATCAACACAAAATACTTAATATAAGGATATTTATTCAGTATCCGGAACATTTCTTTTTTCATGTAGTTCTGAAACAAACGAAAATTCCATGCTTTTCAATTATATAACTGGTATATTTCCAACCTTTAAATAGAACGCACTCTTCACTAAATTTTCGTCTTCCTGAGGATGCACAGTTGTTTCTTCTTTATATTTTAAAAGCAAAGGTTTCCAAATGTACGAACCAGCAAATATTCCGGCCGCAGATACTACTAATAGGTCCACCCAACTGAATCCTCGTGGACGTCGAATTCGTATCATAACTAGAAGGCTCAAAAGATCATTTCATTCGTTCAGATCCTTCATTACGACCCGATTGTTGACTAAGATAGGGCTTAAGAAAATACAGACTTCCGTGATACACTACTACGGTGGCAACAATAAACTGTACAGATTTAAATAGCTTCGCCCCAGAGAGCATGTTTCCTCCTGCGACACTCCCACCAACTCCTACACATTGTGTAGACAACCCTGACTCGTAGTTTGTCTATGGACACTCCCAGGGGTGACAATCTCAGGTCCTATATTATATACTCTCTGATCTCAGGAGCATGAAACTACCTATTTAATCTCGCGACTTGCGTGTATACAGTGCTGCCCTTAGAGGATTGGAGTACGCCAAATTGTGTTCAAAGAATACTTACGACAGGTTTAACAAAATTTTAAGTAGACTTGTAGTAGAAATTGAAGATAGACTTCGGAGACGTTTCCACTTCACCATACTCTTTAAGGCGAACTTAGTTGGACTTAAATTTAAGCCCTCGTACCCATTTTAAGTCGTGCTTTACATCGCAAAAATTGTGAGTATATTGTGAAGTGCTGCTTTTGATAGTGATTGCTGCGACAATTGTGATGATATCTTTGACAAGCCTTGTAGTATGCCGAGGTGGATCAAGGAACGGTCCAAATATTTCGAAGAGCTCTATGAAAGTGATTTTGCTATCCGCTTTCGCCTATCAAAAATGACAACACTAAATGTTTTGGAGCTAATTGAAGACCGACTGGAATGAGCTACATAGCTGAAAATGTTGATTTTATATATACTAGTTACACATTAATTTGATTCTGATGCAGCAGCGTCCATATGCATATCAAAGCAATTGCTTGATGCTAAAAGCTGAAAAATAAATTTCTCCATTTTCAGCAAGTACTACAATAAAATCTTTGGAGACGTCTTCCTTGAAACTTTCCCAACAGCCTTGAAATTGTCCAATCCGCAGTCGCTTCGTTAAGAATTGTTCATTTATCATTCGAAGATCCAAAGGGGATCTAATCAAAAAAAAGTGATCTTCAGTTCTGGAGAAACAATTTGTGCTATTAGTGCAATGCATTGGGAGGCAATTTCCGTCACACGGGATATTGACCACACGCCAGAGAATATGTGCAAGTTTAAACACTCTCTAGTGACTCGTGCAGTGTACAACGCTCTTGTAGTCAGTACGAGGCCTTCTTACAAGATAATAGGAAATGGTTCATTGCTGAAATTTTGTAACAGTTATTTGTTTCTCTTTTTTACGGAAATCGTTGTAAATCATACGATTAGGACGAGTATAATGTTTAATTTTGGTCCTTATACTGTAAAACAGAACAATATACACAAAGAAGGACTTATTAAATTGAATTGATTTAATGTTACATATTTATTACTTTTTAGTACATATTTCTGTATATTATAATGCATGTATATTTTCCCAATTTTTAGTACATAATTATCCGGGCCCTATTTATAACTTATTATGAAACTACACTAACGCCATAATTCCTGCTGGCAGTCGTTTGCCGACAAGCCGGCGTCGCTAGCTAAATTAGTTTACTGCGCTCCGTGAAGTCACAGAGGTTAAGGCAAATTCGAGACTTGCGGGTTCCTGGTTGGGTGACCGGCTAGGAACCTCAGGATCTAACGGCGTCGATCCCCTGACCGAAGGGATAAAAGGCTCTGACTGCAACATAACTAGACTGGACAGTATAGTAAATGAGGATTACTCCATATAAGCGCTCAACCCCCAAGGGATCAAGCGACGCGTTGGGTTTACGACGATGCGAAATTTATTTAGCTTGAGAATATTTTTTTCTCAAAAACCGCTAGAATGTTTTCTTTACATTTTCTTCACATATGTAATAAGGGTCGGTAAAAAAATATGGTGCTAGTCCAATATTCGGATGTTTATCGGTTTTTTCGAAAATTGCAAAAACGTATTTAAAAGTACAAAATTGAAGAAGGATATTTTTGCCTCAGAAAAGTCTGCTGTAAAAATTTAGCTCTTTAAAAAAGGTTGTGAACATATTTTTGTAAAAGTTAGTAGTGCCTTCTCTGGGAATAGACAACAGGGAGGGCACACAAAGTTACAGGATCAAATAAAGTTAGGCACTTAAAAATGTTTGATATTTAGATTTTTAATGCACGTAAGTATTATTTTCAACTGAATTATCTCCCAGGAAGACAGTCTAAACACAGGATATATTAATTAAATTTAGTCTTCTGTTTTTAGTTTCTGCAAATTTATCTATTACAAATTCATTAAAATTATCTGAGTCTCGTAACAAAACATTTTCTACTGATAATATACATAGTTCATTCAATCTCTCTTCCGACATGATATTTCTCAAAAATGTCTTTAATCTTTTCAAAGTGGAGAAAGCTCTTGTAGGAAAAAAATTGAAGAAAAATTTGAGCATTTTCTTAGAAAGTAATTGTTTACAATTTAAAATTTGCCTATGTTTGACGCAAAATTGAGCTAAACATACTCATATGTTCTAAAAATTGAACATAAATTTATTTAAAGACTTTTTGATGAACACATTTCGTTAAGAAAAAATGTATCTTCATAATTAGTTATAGGAGAAAGCCGAAAAAAATTGAATTATTGCAATTTGGAAAAATCAAGGAATTCGACAAAAATTGGACCTGCACTCTTGTGCGTCCTTTACGCTGGGATCAAAATTAAATAACAAAAATTCATGCCTTTTTTATTCTGAAAATGTTCTACGAGCTTCATGTAAAGTACCTCCCAAAATTAAAATATGTTCCAAAATCAAACGGGGACCGCGACATCTTCCAGATCGATTGGAGAATATCAATTTTAGTGAAAACTCTACTTACGGTTTAGCGGCTAGCGTTGTTCAGAGAGACGGACGGTCAGGCGTTTTGCCTTCAAACCATTTTTCGGTATTAAAGACTCACAAAACATTGATTCCAACAACACAATATGTTAGAGGAAGTAATTTACAATTAATAAACAAAAATGTCTATTTTTTTTCAAATATTCTTAATCTCTCGATTTTTTTAAATTTATTTTTATTTATTTATTTTGAAACGTTTACTCTATTTCAACTATTTCTAGTTAAAATGACGTGAAGGGATTCTGAAACTCAAGAAAATGTGCGCAGATAATCTTCTCCCCCATACGTCGCATACAGTTTTTACTGTTTTATTGAGTAAATAAATCTAAATATTTTTCAAAATCGCAAAGCTTCCACTCAAGCCAAATCGACCGGGGAGTATTTAAATTGAAAAATAATTCTACGTAAGATTTAGGCGCTTGTGGTGTTCACAGACAGGACAGACGGACGAACAGACAGACTGGCAACAGAGAGACGGACATACAGACAGACGGACGTTTTGAAAAAAGAAAAAATGCTTTTTCGGTATGAGGGAACCCTGAATATTGAAATCGATTTTCCGCGGCATTACTTAACTTTCTCTATGCGTACTACCTATACGTGAATGTAAAAATACCAATTGTTAAGTAATAAAACTAAGAGGAAGGAAAATTTCAGTAAACGGTGCAATCTCACCCATTTTGTGTACCTTTAATTTACTCCAAATTACGCAAAAAACAGTAATAGTTTTGAAAAAATTGCACCTAACTATATTTAAAGATCTATTATTCACGAACAGATTTCTCTAAAAAATCAATCTTCAAAAATATTTGTGGAGGATGTATACAAATTTTTAAACTTTTGTAATTTTCGACAATTGCAGAGTTCTGTGAAATTTGGACATGTATGATTTTTATTGGTGTGTGTGTTCTATCCATTAGGGAGTCCAGATCCATTAAGGAATATCAAACTGGTGAAAATCCATTTACATTCGAAATACATTTTTTTAGTGTCAAGAACCTGAATTTTGACTGCACATCATATTAAAGGAAGTCATTAAGAATCAATGGTTCACATTTTTCTAGTGTGAGGGACCTATAAAACGCTGTAGCATTAAAATACATTTCAATATTAAGTACCGTACAAGAAATTAAAACGAAAAGGAAAGACGTTTCAGACAAATGACATCTACCTACTTCTTTTGAATAATTAGATTTTTTATGGAAGGTAATTCTTTAAAATTTCTTACGTTTCTTCTGGTCCACGATAACCAGCGAACCCAGGAAGCTGGAGAGGGCTAGTTGTCAGTCAATAGCATCTACCCTCTCTTAAAAAAATTAAACTTGGTCAGCCTTCTTTCTTACATTGCAAAGAATTTGAGATATTTCGACATGTTAAATCGGTCCGAAGACATAACTTTAATCATCTAATTAGATGTTTCTGTATGATTTTAAAAAATTGTAAAATGAATTACTCATGATTTATTCAATGAATTTCATTATTTTATTAATTGTAGGTACACAGTCTTGCATCTTCCCTTATTAAATGAGAGGAATACTGGAGCAGTGTTCGCCTCTGCATTTTCAGCACCTAAAGATTGGCTAATTTAATGTGTTTTTTTTTTGTTGTTGTTGTTTTTTCCTTTTCGAACAAGCTAATTAGACTTGAGAGATTCGCAGTTTGTTGGGGGTACGTATTAATTTAGAAAGATTTAACAATTGAGCAAAATCGTAAAATATTGAAAATTTAATAATCAAGTTTTGCTGCGAGTAATTGTTTGTCCACTCTCGCTTATTCAATTTTTGCAACTTGCAAAAAGCAAATAATTCCATTCCAAAGCGAAATAATTCCATGCCGAAGATGAATTTTAATAATAACGTGCACATTTCTCTTACTTTTTCACCTGCCTTTGTACGATTTTTTTTCTTCTGAAATTTCTCATTACCTCTCAATATTTGTAATAGTAATAAATACACAACCTGGTTCAATAGATTCAAATAAATTAATTAAACATAAAAAATTGTCGTAAGGAATTTTTAGAAATCCCTAAGCTTTCCCCGACAACTTAAAATCATATACGTTGATTATTTTTAAAAAGTAATGTTACTTGATATTTTTCAAAATGGTGCCTTCCGTTTAATATTCAAGAAATCACCAGCCTATGAATAAAAGAAAGAAATTGGATGGTATAAAATCTACCTATTATCTACCTTCGAGATTCCTTAATGTAACTGCTTTACTGACAAATTCTACAAGCTTCGATGCCAATAAAAGCAACGTTGCCTTGTAGCACTATAAATCCCCATGTGTAGTATAGTAACTAATTGCAATACTTGGCATCTATGTGCCGTTTCCGTAGCAACATGTCAGCGTCAGAGGGCGAACTTGTGCGCGGCGTTTACGGGGTCCATGCCGCCAATAAATGGCAGTAGTTGTTACTCGTTGTTCGGTTTACGAAGTAGTGAGAAATGTTTCCGTAAAGCTCCTGGAATTTAGAGTGACTCGAATACTTTTCTTATGTCTGGTTTGTTTAGCGGAAAACTGTAATTTACATTCGAAAACATTGCGATAAAGTGCCGCTAATGGTGTAAACCGCAACTCTTTGTGAATCCGACTTATTTTATCGTGTGCCTCAGTTGTAATAATATGAACAAGTTTTGCGTTTATATCAATGACTTTTATAGTGGTGTGGCACCTTCAGTTTGTACATTTTTATTTTCGGGTATCTTGACATAATAATGGATGTTGTCGAAAACCTGCAAGTGTTTGTGAGGAATTCCCCAGAAACTATGTATGTGATTAAATTTGACTTCAAATGAGTACATTATAATTAAATAAGTAGTAAGGCAGAAATGGAGTCTGACAATTCAGTTGATGGTGACTTTGAAACAGATTATGAAAATAGTGAAAAATTACCAGAAAATTCTACAAATAGGAAATGTGAACTGAAAGAAGGATGTGAATTTCAGAGTGATGAAGAAACTGATCATTCATCGGATGAGTCTGATTCAATTGAATTAGATGCACCAAAAAATGATCATAATTTAACATTACAAACAAATGATGGATATATTTCTGGCAGTATTTGTAAAAATGAATTGCATGAATTACCTTCTGAACATCCAAAACACCCTCTTAAATGTAGAAAGACAATAGACACAGAGAGTAGAAACAATGAAAGCTACAATGACAAATCTAATCATAGTGTGACAAGTGTTTTGGAAGAAGAATTGGAAGTTCAAATACAGAAAAAGGATGATACTCTTGATATTCCTGGCCATAGTGATGATTTATCTTGTGTGTCTGATGTAGAAAGTAACGATGGTCAGAGTAGCATAGATATGTTGCATAATGACAGAAACAAAGACAGTGGCAATAGTGAAAACATTGTTAGTATTGGTATTAGAAAAGTGAGTGAACCTGTTGAAGAAATGGAACAGTTAGATTTTGAAGCAGAAGAAGTACAAGATAAAGAGGAAAAAGAAGAAGGTGAATGTGAAATTAGGGATGAAAAAAGTGATGAAGGTGAGCTTGAAGGTGATGGTTTAGAAGAAGGTGAACTCACAGATGAAGAAGAAAATAGGCCTGAAGAAACTGAACCTAGACCTATATGTCGTTTTTACAGTAGAGGCCAGTGTACATGGGGGTCAAGCTGTAGATTTGTGCATCCAGGAGTGACTGATAAGGGCAATTACACTATGTTTGATGTAGTGAGACCTCTTTTGCCGGTTAATGGACATCCTGTTTATCAACCAGCAGATTACCGGGTACCATATGAAAAACTTCCTAGCATGGCCATGCAGTATCACTCACCTGTGAAAGAAGAACCATTAATTTTTGAATCAGCTTGGGAAAGAGGACTTCGACAAGCAAAAGAAATGATGAGAAAATCAAATCAGAGGAAAGAAACCGATATGGATTTTGAAGAGAAGAAAATGAACTTGAGTCTTGGTCAAGAAGAACTTGACAAAGAAAATGATTATTATATTAGGTCTGCTAGCCCTGTGTATAAAGAGGATGAACGATGGAATGTTGATATTGATCCATATAGTTACAGGGATGAAATGCTCACAATGGAACATTATGATGATATTTCTGATTTGTATTACCATCGATCTAGAGGGTCAGGGCGTGACTACTGGAGACGTGTTCATTATGAAACTGAACCCACTCGCACAATTCGGTTAGAATCAGAATATGTTAGCTTCAGACGGGAAAGAACAAGTAGTAAATATCATGGTCATCATCAGCATAGACAGGCTTCTCAAGAATTCTATGAAAAGTATGAGAAAAAGTCAACTCGTCAAAAATCACACTCGACCAGAATTGTTACAATGGAACAAAGTGATAAACATCGTAAAGAGGAAAGATATGGAGAATCTTCACTTCAAAGTCGTCGGGGTGATGAATGGGCTGATCCATGGATGCGTTCAAAATCTCCTGTAACCAGGAAAAGCGGAGGTCATGTGTCCCGTCGTCGATCACATTCATCTGGTTCTCCACATTCATCAACTGGCAATAGTAGAAGTTCAAGTCAGTCAAGTCACCATTCTGTCAGTCATAGTCGCTCTAGAATGCAGTCCAAAAAGAGTTCGGTTTCATTGTCAGCTTCTCATAATGTTTCCTCTCATACACATAGAAATCCTAGGAAAGTCCTTCTTCCCACACCAAGGTCCACTGAAATAAACTCACCTTTAAATGTATCCTCCCAGAAATCATCAAAGCATGTTGGAGAACTGAGAGATTTTGGAAGGAATAAATCTGTCTCCTCGAGTTTCATTCAGTTAGAGAAGAAGGCAGCAAATGAAAGAGCCTTATTGATGAATCCTCCAGCACCATCACCACAAAGACAAAAGGAAGTTCAACCACATTCTCCTGCAATGATGAGAAGATCTGCACAAAATCCTCCTCCTCCAGTGTCTCCTGCAAGATCTAATTCATCTGTGTCGTCTTCAGGATCAGATTCTAGTGGATCCAGTAGTGATTCATCAGAATCCAGTTGTTCATCATCATCAAGCAGTCGAGAACCTTCCCCAAAAGTTGTTTACCCTCCAAAGAGGTTAATCATGGAAGAAAGGGGCAGATTAGCATTGGCAGCAGAAACTTTAAAAGTCAAAGCCATGGATGCTTTGAAACTTTCGGGGCAGAAACAGCAAATCAAATTAACTCTAAAAACTAGTTCAAGTGTTCAAAATAAAACTAGAATAGAGTCTGGGTTGCCTGATTTACCTCAGTTAAATCTAGTTAGAAAAGACAGAGTTTTGCCTGTACTTGTTGGGAGAAAAAGACCTGCTGAAAATCCTGTATGTATTGAAGCAGGTATACCATCCAAAATGGCATCTCTCCCTAAACCTGCCCAGAAAACAGTCACGTCAAGAAGAGAGGAATTACTTAAACAATTAAAGGCTGTTGAAGATGCTATAGCTAGGAAAAGATCCAAAATATGAAAATTTTGTTTAAAGATCATATATGATTTTGTGATACAAAGTTACTTTTCATTCCTATACAAATAAGATTGCTCATTAAGTATGAAACATAAAAGTAATAGTAGTTGTTTCACATCATTATGCGTTCTTGAACACAATAAACAGCTTTTAGAATTAATAAGAAATATTTATTGTAAAAGGTCCTAGTTTGTATACATTTTAATTGTTGTATCCTTCTTTATTCCCATGTATATTTTGTTTTAATTTTTTACTGTTGTATTATTAGTGTTACTTTTTAATTGTTAGTATAAATAAGTTTCACGATTTTCATGTTTATTTGGGAGGTTTTCAAAGTAATGATTGTGATAATTTTGTTTTGACATGATTTCTATCACCTGTAAGAGTGAATTTAGTCCATAATAGAATATCATATAGTATGGAAAATGGAAGGAATTTTTAAATAATCCAATTCCAAAAACCAGTGAAGTGATACAAAATAATGCACTTGATTGTATGTGTATTAAAATAATGTTACAATTACAGTTGTTACATTAAAAATTAAAAATAGTGCAAATAAAATAATCAAAATTTTTTGCAAATGTAGTAAAACATTAATAACAAATCTATAATTATGTGTAATGTTTGTGTGGGAATTTTCAAATATGTGTATGAGGATTTATTTTTTACATAGCCATCCAAAGAGGTCCACAAGCCTATGTACTCTCCAATTCAATGAATATCTGAATCTTTCAGTGATTTGTATTGGTAATTGCTTGGAATGTTGTTTGATCTCCACCCAGTGATGGCTTTGGCTGCTTTGTAGCGTAATTTAATTAGTAATAGAATTGTGTATTTAGTTCATATAGGTAAGTATGTAAATTAATGTTTGTGGAGTTGCTGGGAGGAAATAATGATCAATAGGAATTACATCCACTGTCATTTAAGGTGAAATGGAATTAAAAGTAGCAATAGATTAGATTAAATGATAAAGCAAATTTATAATTCACACACACACAAAAATGCATTTTGAGTTCACTGTTGTGTCCAAGTTTTCACCTATAGTATATGGAATTATGTAAATATGAATATTTATATTGTGCATAATCTTCTTTGCTAGTCATTTATATCTATTGCCATTACATGTGAAACACTAATGTAGTGATATATGCATAATATTAAAACAAATATATTTCTAAATACCTTGTGTATTTGTGAATGAAAGGAAATCCATGGATTCTATTCTATTGAGTTACCAGATTAAATAACCGTGGCTACATAAGTAATATGTTAGATACCTGTTCACGATGAAAAACTGCCTTATGATCAGTTATGAATGAAAACCTATAAACTGAAATATCAAATTATTGTTCTAAAAACAGAATTATTTTTTAACGATAAAAGTTCTGAATTGCAAATTTTTCTACTTGAATCAGTTAAATGAGTAGGATTTATGTATTCAGTATTTTTAAATATATTATATTATTAAATCCATTGGGGGCCAGCCATTAATCATATAATGCAAATTTTGAATACCCCCTTTCCCGCATAGTGCACTTGAACCCCACTATGATAATTACGTAACACATGCAACCAGGTGTTATGGGACGGATCCCGCTGATCATTTTGGAGAGAGCCATCATAAATTTTTGTTAAATAATAATGTTAGTTATTTTTGTAGTGTATGATGCTATACAATATTATTTTTTAAATAATTACATAATTTTAACATGAACATTAAAATCAATTTTTTTCAAATAAAAGAAGGAATCAAATGATAGCTTTTAGTCTTGGTCTTGCGCCCACCATTGCTTACAACAAGATCCCCCAATCACCTAAATAAAATCAACTATAAAGCAGAAATGAGTAATACTAATTGTATTTGTGTTATGTATAAAATTTATAGAAATTAAAGATGAAATAGGTGGCGATGATACTGTGTAATTCTGCTGCATAACATTAAGATTGAGGACAATATTTGATTGAAGGACACGTGGGTGAGATACTTTTTGACTAGCCAAGCACATGCTTTCACAGATGACACATGGACCCCGTGTCTACATGCTAATTTAATTTGATTCTAGAATATACTATAGGTCAGTTTTGAATACTTTTTTCATAAATAACAGATTCAATCAATATATCATTAATGAAAAAATATTTACATTTATTGTAGCAATTTATACTTCATACCTTTTTTAATCTATTATGTTCTTAATTAAATTGTTAATATGTTGATGTTTTAATATAAGATTGAATTAAAGGATTTCTTCAGCAAATGTTGAGAAATTTTAAAAAGAAATCAGCATTACATAACACAAAAAATCTGAGCCCTTACCCCTATGTAACACTGCCTCAAATACCCTCTCCCTCTTTAGCACTATGCAATTTATGGATGATTTCTTACTTTATCTTATTTCTCATATTGCCTCAGTGTTTAGCCTTAGCACACTTTTGAAGCAAATTGAAATCAGATCAGAAATATTGAATGTACTTTAAATTGTATTCATCTTGGTGGAAATGATTTCTAGACTTGCAAAATTATAGAAATGTTTTTGATTAATAGTAAAGGTACAATTAAATTCTGCATCTATTTAATCCAAAATCACAACTAAATTTTAATAGTAGTTTCTTTAAGAATCAAGAATATCCTTTTCAGTGATTCATATATTAAAGCAAGGGTTTGTCGTAAGATAAATTGATTTTCTCTAAGCATTTTTTAATGAAAATATTTGCTTATTTATTTCTTATATCCTGAAGAGCAGTGATGTGACTTGCCAGAATAAAATAGAGGAGTAAGGATATTATTTGAGAAGAGTTTCTTTTTATTTTGAGAAAAGATCTGTCAGTATATCACGTGTATTCTCACAACTGTATGTGAGGGAGGTATTTAGATCAGACATTAACCATAAATTTTAAGGTTAACTTAAATTCATTGTAATTATAAATGAACTGCAAATTCTAAATTTTGATCCTATTGTAATCCCATGCTCATACTTGTAAATTATGAATATTTGTGTGTTTATAATTTTATGTACAAACAAATACCACATTAACATTCTATAGGAATTAATTGGTTGTTAATACCCTACGACAGTTTTGGGGAAAATTGAATCTGTTATTTTATTTTTATGTAGGAGTAACTAATCTAGGACAACACTGAGCTTTTATAGCTAATTTTAATTGGTGGTAACTGAAAACTTGTGAGGGAGGACCCTTTAATAGAGGACCTCATTCTACTGAATTATTGATTACAGCATCATCTTTGGCATGTTGTATTATGAATTTAGAATTGATCCCTCCATCTCTTCTGTGGCTATAATTTTATAAAGTTAAAGAATGCTGGCTTTGTCATTCAAAATTCTTTCCATGTGTACTATGCAATTTCACATTTATTAAAACTTAGTAATTGTGAAATAAAAATCTTTTAACTGACCAGACATAATAATTAACCTAGCTATTAAAATTATTTCTCTCCTCAAATTTGTCATTATTAATTTTTTGTTCTTGCCAGATGTCTTATTTACTTTTTTTAAGCTCTTTCGAGACTTATGAACAATTTATGTTCTGCTTGCTCTAAACAATTTTCCATAAGTTGATATAACCTGAATATATGTAAAATGTACATTTATAATATGATTTCTTGTATTTGAAAAACATTTCATAATTTCAAATACAAATTATATCAATGTAACAATTGAGTTACGGAATATTAGGCAGCCTTGTATGACTTCTTGGTGGATAGTTACTACATTGCTTTCATGTCATCTATTTAAATCAGTTTTAAATAGTTTAGAGATAAAAGCTTCTTAGAACATTTAAATAATGTTACGGTATTCCTTTTCCTTCATTACATACCCATCATTTGTCTCTTATTATATGATCAAAGGCTTTTATGTAGTCTATAAATGCTACAACTGTTAAATCATACCATTAGTGAAGCCGTTTAAAAATTTTCATTTGACATTTCATAAAAATCACAGCCTCTTTACCTCAGGCATGAATAGTAACGTTTCAGTAACAGTTTAATATGTTATTCACTCAGCAGCTTTTAAAAGATTATAATTTTCATATTCATGAAAAATGAATTAGGACAATAAGACACAGGAGCTTCAGTAATGACATGTTGAAATGAAACCTCCCTCTATAAAAACCCAGAATATCCTTGTAAACATTTTTAAAATCTCTAAAAAATGATATTAAATATGGCACTTAGAATTTCAAAAAGAGTCTAGTAGCAACTTTGATCTCTATAATATGCTAAGGATAAAGTAATGGTTTTGTAATATTTACAAAAAGCCGTAGACTTAGGACCTTGTAAGTGAACTACTGCTGATTAGGAAGTTGCTCCCCTGTTCTCGTTCTAACAAATTTAAAACAAAAAATACATAAACAACAGATTCCTGAAACGCACATTATAATCTTGCATATCTCAGAAACAATGTGACCTAAGCCCTTAAAAGTAGGTTTCGTATTAGAACAGAAGAAATGAGCTTAGTTGTTTTTTCAGAAAAATTCTATAAAACGAGAATCTTTTTGAAACTTAATATATTTTTGGAGATTTATATCTTTAAGTTTCGCCTCTGAAACCCGAAATTATGTAAACTTAAATTGAGAGATAAAGATGAAATGCACTTTAGATAGAATTAAAGGGACTATTTGATTTTCTGTGAGATATAGTCTCAAAATTTGCCAAAACAGGTCATATAATATTGTATCATTCGAACACTCCAGTAGCATGAAGATTTTTGTGTCATGATTGTAAACACTGAGAACCTACTGTAATATGCAAATACAAATCATGAGGGTAAATACAATTGGGAAGTAGCCTTTTGAAGTTAGGTTTTACTGTCAAGCAATTTGCGCTTTTAACACAAATTTTTATATAGTGTGCAGTTTTCATGTGGGTCCAGCAGGTGAGTATTTTACACCTTTACGTCTTTAATTGGTCATGCCTTCATATGGGAAGTATACCTGCATACAAAATCTTTGCTTTGAACCATATTACAAAGTGCGTATTTTCTTGAATTTTCAGAATAAAATATTTTATTTTCCTCCTTATTCATGTTACATATAGAATTACATGCCTGTGATGCACATTCTCACTGATTTTGGCAAAAAGGTTAAGTAAATTGCTAAAATGGATATCATTTCTTTGAATATTTCAAAAGCCAAATGATTGGGTACTTGCTTACTCTCAAGCTTTGCATTTGAAAAGCAAAAATGTCGGAAATTTGAATAATCAAGTCATTAATTTCTTCAGTGATTATTTGAGTAACAGGGTAACTTTATTATTTGAAATGAGATTACATAAAAATAAAATTCTAGATTATAGAATTGAAAATCAATTGGGGGATTTATTATTTATTGCAGTATTTTTGGAAAAGTTTTGTCATGTGTTTATGTAAAATTAGGAAATTTGTGTAGCCAACAATGTATAAAACATCACATAGAAATCTAGTATACATAATACTTTTATAACTAGTTAACTAGTTTCAAGAAACGAAAACAGAGTGTTTATCTTTGTTTTTCAAGTTTATTTATAATCAGTTGAAATTATTACCCTCCCACATCACAGATCCAAATAACAAGCTTTACCAAGTCATGTTATGCCATCTACATCCTTAAGTAAAATTCTAACTTAAGATAAGCTATGAAGAGTGTAATTAGCAGATTTCACTTGCACCTAAAACACGGAATCATATTCTGGGGAAATTCCCCACAAAGTATTCACACTTTCATCATCCAAAAATGAATATTGAGAACAATGACACTCACGAAAATGAGTCCTGCAAACCACTGTTCAAAAAATTACAAATCCTACCCTCCCATGCACATACATATTTTAAATATTAATCTTTACAAAGAAGAAACAAGGATTCTGTTACTCTAAACACAGAAGTTCATAACTATGATACTAGATAAAAATACATTTGCATGTCTCACACAGTGAAACTTCACTTTTTCAAAAAAAATGTACTCTTATAGAAGGCTTCACACTAAATTTAACCAACTCCCTAGTGAATTTACAAGTCTAACCCAATACATATATTCACAAATAAATGTTCCTGTTAAATCATAGATTCACCAGTTCAAACATCACATCATAAACGAGCGTCTACATCAATTTAAACTAGTACTAATAACTTCGCATATTTTGTTGCATCTTTTGAAACCCCAAAGCTAATTGTTGGGCATAAGACAATCTCATATGAAGACAATTTTTTTCCTTTCGTTCTTTATTATTATTGTTTTTCAATTTTTGTCTTCTTACACTACCATTTATAAAATTAATTAGCATTGTGTTGTATTTAGAAGCAAAATTAATTGAATTTATAATTTCTGTATTGTATTTCATGTTTAGAAATACCCGTACAGTATGTTGTATGATTATATGATTATGTACATATCCTGACTTGTTATACATTGTGTCCATTCTTTCACTAATTTTCTAGTGTACTAATGAATGTCATATCAAATGTCTACATAATAAATATTAACTATAAGTCAACAAATAAAAATAAATTTAGCATAAATGAAAAATTCACCCTAAGAAAGCATCAAGAGGTTGGGCAGAACTTGTTGCCTCTCTCCGAGAAAAATAATTATCTGATCGCGTCCCTGCATACATGGGCCCATACTCTTTGCATGGGCCCTATTTACTACATATAGAAACATGTATTTATTAAGTACCTCCACGTTTGAAAGGTTGTGTCGTTTTTTTTAACTATACGTGCCTGAATGGGAAATGTCAAGAATTATTTGTGCCGAAATTAATCAATAACAATAAAAATATACGTGTATATGGATCTTTGCGAGTGAGGTAATATTAGAAGTATTATCAATGCCTCTGTACTGTACAGTTGTGCCCTGGTTATGTCGGCTATTTTATCAGGCTTTCAATTATTAGGGCCAATTAAACCAAGTGATTAATCAGCGATGCTCGTTATTCCATTTGATTGATAGCCCTTTTTACATTCTATAATAGTGCTAAAGATGTTCGGCTTACAGAAATAATAATTAGTAGTAATTTATTTATATATTTATTAAAGGTATATTGGACTTACAACCTACTTTCCATGTTATAATCAGTTTCAAGCGTATTGTGGTCAATTGTGGCTGATTGAACTCGCTCAAACGCCACGTTGTTTCTTTTAGACAGTGAACGACACAAAAGCATTAGCTAAGAGTATCTATTACGGTGTATGTTATTGAAGTTATGTAAATTGTGCGCTCCAGTACAGCTTCTTCGTCTTCCGTATTATTTACATTCTAAATTGCAATCGATTACAATGGATTCATTCAATCAAAGATTAAAATCCTTGATTGTGAAACTGCATGAAATCAATGCTCTGAAATTTGGGAACTTCAAAATGAAAGTAGGAATCAATTCTCCAGTGTACTTTGATTTAAGAGTAATTGTTTCCTATCCTAAAGTAATGGTAAGAAATATTATTTGAACTGTTTTTGTTTTTTTTGTGAATGGGAAAATTATGCAATGTTTTGTGTGAACATTTTGTTGTAATTTGTTGATAATTGTATAGTGACCAATTTTTTGCCAATGAAAAGGACGAAACAAAATTTAAGAAAAAGTACAACGTAAATAAATGAAACATCTTATTAATTCAAACAAAAATACACTAATTATGCTTACATCCTTTTTAATTATATAATTAAATGAGTATTTTGCCATTGAATGACTCTTAAATTTCGGGGCTAGAAATGTCCTTCTATATAATTTTACAGTAAGCCCTCCAGCCAGAGGATCAAAATTCAATCCTGATTTCTCAAGTGATTTACTAGATTAACATGTTAATACTAAATAAACACATTAGATTTAAAAGATGAAAAGGAGGACACTGTTCCAGGAGGGACAGAACTTACAAAAGAGGAAGACGATTGGTCATCTTAATAATTGTAATGTAGGAGTTGTTGTGAATTATATCATCTTAGCCTTACAGTGAAACTGCTCTTACACTTAATGAAATATCAACTGTAGAAATTTAATGTTTTGTCATATGCCCCTACTCTTTACAGGGTTCATTGTCCCGTCTTCTGTGGGAGTTCAGCAACAGCAGTTTGGATCCATTTGACCACATCTGTGGGGTTCCTTACACAGCTTTGCCTATTGCATCAATCATATCAGTAGAGGCAGATGTTCCCATGTTGATTCGCCGTAAAGAAACAAAAGATTATGGAACAAGAAAGTTAATTGAAGGAAAATTTGAGGAAGGGGACAGATGCCTTATAATTGAAGATGTAGTTACATCAGGCTCAAGTATCCTGGAAACTTTCAGAGTATTTCTCAATTTTTTGCTATTGTAATTGGTTACTTTATGAAATGCACATGAATGTATTTTTCATTTATGAACTAATTACTTTTTCTTTCAGGATTTGAAAACTGAAGGTTTATCTGTTACAGAAGCAATTGTTGTTGTTGATCGGGAACAAGGTGGAGTACAAAATCTAGCTTCTCATGGCCTTAAAATGAGAAGTTTATGCACATTGACCCAAGTGTGTCCTGCATTGTATTTTATGAGTTTATATATTTTTCATACTCCTCATTGGAACAATTTTCATAGATTTTGTATTTTTTTAGATCATGAACACATTACTTGAAAAGGGAAAAGTTGATCAAAATACAGTTGATCAAGTGAAGAATTACATATCTTTAACACAGATTCCTTTGAAAGATTATGTTCCAGTGAAAGAAGGTGGGCATTTATTAGCATTTCTTGTAACTTTGTTCTTAAAGAAGTAAATTTGATATCTCTCTTTTTAGTAAAAGACATTGTACTTTAATTCATGTTACAACATAAATCCTAAAGGAGCATCTTTGCTTCATAACATTTAACACTTACATTGTAAATGTAAATGTCAAACATATACAACATTCTGAATGCATATGTTATACCGTTAATATTGCACCCACTCTTGTTAACATGTCGGCAGGGTTGCTTACAAAAATGATAGATCAGATGAACTTGGTATTTGAATTGCAAAAGCTTTTTATTGCATTTATATTTACTGTAGTTGTTAGTGATTTATTACAAGCTTTACTGCTATTTTCTTTATTATTGTATCCCAGGTTTTGCTGAACATAACCACTTTCTTCTGCATTGTAATTCTCTCCCATCCTCTATTCCAATACTTATTTCAAATAATGTTCCATAAATTTGAGTGCAACATCAATACCTCCAAAAGGTATGTTGCTGGTTCATAATAATTATATATTTGTCACATAAATGCAGCACAAGCCATGTGTGACACATCAGATATGTACATAATACAACATACAATACAGGTATTTCAAAAAATTAAATACAATACAGAAATTATAAATTCAATTCAATTTTGGTTCTAAATACAATACAATACAATGCTTATTAATTTAATAAATGGTAGTGTAAGAAGATACATATTGAAAAACAATAATAATAAAAAAGAAAGGGTAGGAAAAAATATTGTCTTCATATGAGATTGCCGTGAAGTTTCACTCTGAGGGTCATGATGATTTATTTTTTGTCTAGTACTATAATTATGAATAGAACCTGGAAGTTTGGCGAAATGTCTTTTTGTTATTGTTACTATTTTATGATTTCGAACAATAGGAATCACTTAATTGTTTTTCTGGGATTGTTGTAGTAAATTTTCATTTTGCCACCCTTCCCCTTCATATGTTAGCTTCTGATGTCTATTTTTGTCTTTTTCTCATGTTGCTTTTTTTCTTCTTTTTTTCCCTGGCACCAATTGCAATCAAACTGGATATATACCTGCAAGCCTAGTCAGCACAAAAATACTATTGTACAAAAACACACACACACTACACTATATCGGTATTTTTGTGGAAACAGAGGCATTATTAAAATTCTAAAAGAAGAGGAAAGATGACTTCAGTCAAGATTTTCCGATTTCTTTGGAGAGTGGAGTCCTGAAGTTTAGGAGACAGTTTTACTGGTGTTTATGATCAGATCATTTTTCTGGAATTATATTACTAGTGCCTTTAGAACAGTTGGTTGGTTTTGTAGAGATTGTTGGGTATTTGCTTTAATAATGTTTGTCATCTGCAAATAGGACTCTTTTGCTGTTTTGTAGAGTCAGGGGCACGTTATTGATATATAATGAAATAGTATAGGCCCTAGGATTGATCCTAGTGGCACTACATAATTTATCATTCTATGTTTGGAAAAATAGGTCGAAAGCTTTTTATCTGCAGCATACTTGATTGTGACTACTTGATAATGAAGATATAACCCATTGACATGCAATGCCTCTAATTTCCAAAGTTTCAAGTTTTGTTAATAGTATGGTATTATCAATAATGTTAAATGCATTTGATAAATCTAGAAACCATCAGATGGGGATTTCTTTCTGATCTAGAGCAAAACAATATGTCAATTAGAAAGGTTAAGATAGCTGTGTCTGTAGATTTACCATTTCTGAATCCATGTTGAGCCTCTGTAATATGTCATTTGAATTGAGAAAGCCTTTGGGTGTCTCATTGAAAGTTTTTTCTAGAATTTTTGAAAAAGCAGATAGTAAGGATAATCATGAAATAGTGAGCATTGTCTTTTTTAATAGTGGCTTAACTTTTGCTTTTTTGAGAATTTCTGGGAGTCTGAGAAATGTTTATTGGGGGTGCTTGCTACTTCCTGTGGGTTGTGTAGAACATTATTTTTGTAGTGAAGTTACATGTTCTTAGTGTTTCTGTTTTCAGAGTATTTTTCATAATGTTCCACATTGCTTTTGTTTTGTTTTAATTTGCATTTTGGCAATGTGTTCATCATTCGTTAGTAGTTTGGCCTGTGTAATTACTTTCTTCAAAATAGTGAAGACATGCCTCTTAATTTTTCTTTGGTTGCTTAGATAATAGCTATATCCTCTCATATTGCATAATTCAATATTTGTAAACGGGAAAGGATAATAAATTTAAGTTAATGTTTGATTCAGTTTTGCATTTTGCATCTTGTAAATGTCATTTTATCAAAATACTGAAGAGAGAGATGATAAGTTGCCAAAAACGATTATATTGTTATCGAAATCTGTAATTCATTCATTCACTATCGTTGTTGTTTTTCCTTCTGTTTTGTTTTTTTAGACATTTCTTTGTAATTCTCTTTTGTGATGCAGTTCATACATTCAAATTTATTTTATTTGGTTTCTCTTCTCCTCAGTGCTCACTAGTAGCAAATCCCGGGAGTATCCTTCCCATCCTCTAATCCTCAAGCCAGCATATTTTTGTGATTTTACTTTTAAAACATTCATAGTGATTACCTCCCATAAATTATTGTTTGCCTCTATATGGTCAATTTCTTGAATGATATTTTATTATTACAAGAAGAAGGCCATAGAACGAGCTTCAAAGTCAATGAGTAGTGCAGATAATTAAACTTAGATTTGTATTGTGTTAAATTAAAATTGGTATTTTAAATATTGCTTTCAAAATACTAATAATAATGTTTAGCATTTTCATGTGCTATGTTAATTCAAAGCTATATTAATTCAAGTGTTCTTTTATCATAATGTACAAAAACAATAGTTGTAAATCTAAGTAATGTATTTCCCTTATTGAACACTCTTGAGTGAGATAAAAGTTTTTATAATTAACTGCTGTGCACCTTTAATGGTCTGGGAGGTTAAAAAAACCCTGCATTGACCAACCTTTTTTCCATAACGCACTGTACCAAGGGAGGGTAAAAAAATGTCCACCCTCAATATGACATTGCAGGCTTTATTTACATAAACATTATAGGTTAACCTATAACATTAAACAATATTATAGGTTTCATCTTAATTTTCACTTGCACTCTTATTACAGATGTCATTTTCTTACTCATTCTCTTCAAAATTATCATCTAACCCACCTTTCGAAATCGGTTTCTGATAAGTATTTACTCATTTTGTTACTGCACCCTGCCGTGATGAAAGACTGAACAATATTACTTACTAAGAGTAGTGTTTGAAATATTTTACCGTCTTCAACAATGAAAAATAAATTTCATTTGAAAAATAAGCCTCATTGTTGAATGATTAGACCATGTTAGAAATTAGACCATGGAAGGGTCATTTAGTGTTCACTTCATGTTTCTGACTTCATAATTTTGTTGTGACAGTTACTATCTTCACAGTGATTCTAGACCCATAAAATTCATTATATTTCTGACACAATCAGAATCTAGCGGTTTGATTCTCATTACTCAAGTTATGTTTTAGGTACACTGAGATTTGGAAGAGACTGGTTGTTTGCATTCAGTGGTATACTTTTTTTTTATTATTATTAGTATTGTATCATCTGCATAAAATATGAAGTTATACTTTGGTGATAAGCCGTTATGAATAATGGCTTATCTAGTACTGAATCCTAGGGGACCCGTAATGAATTTGGCAAATTTACATCTAATTTTGTCTACTATATTGAAGTTTTCTCAAAATCCTGTTTACAACCATTTAGAAATAATTTTAAAATCACATTCATTTTGCTTCTAACTCCTAAGTGTTTCATTTTTGTGTGACACACTATCGAAACCTCATTAAATTGTTATAAACACGTGTTTTCTGGATCACAATATGTGACCCAGACAAATTTGCAATGTTTTCAGTTACTTTTTTATTTAGTTGTGCACTGCAACAGTTTGATTACACTGCAATGTATAACTGCAGTGCACTGCAACAGTATAATTGTAGTTTTTAAATCAAAAGTCACTGTGAAAATATTCTAATTTTTAGTAGTTTAGAGATAACACGTTTACTTAGTGAACAATTTATTAAATATCCAATATGTACAGTACAGCAGGTTTACATAGTTTTAGTATTATGAATGACACTTCATTTTACCCACAAGATTCACTATTTTTAAAAGAGCCAGTAACATATTAATCAATTTCTCTACACTTGGCGAGTTAGGAGAGAGTGCACTGTTATCTAATTGGGAAATCTGTTTCAAAAATTGAAGCTCCCAAATGGATAGCAGTGCTCCCTCTAGTACTTCTAGTGTCGAGAACTTTTAATTGAGGAATAGTACAGGTGTAGTCTAGATGTATCGTGTTACATTAAATTTCATTGTAAAAAGTATGTAATTCCTGTCCAGAATTTCAGAAGTTATCAAAAATTTCACAAATGGAGGAGAAATCACACTATTTCACATTCCATGAATTTGTATACTTTGAGTTAGATTTGTGGTTGTGTTGATGTTCCTAAAAATTTAATTTTATTTTATTAGGTGTATTATTGATTTTATCTTCTTTTACAGTTTGCGTTCTTTATGGACATTGAACTTAGTGATTTTAAAGACCTTCATATTTTCTTTGTTTATTAGTGACACTCTGAACACATTTTTCAATCATAAGAATCACTGGGCTCTATGTGCCAGCTATATAGGGGCTATTTAAATATTTGATGTGTTTCCTGCAATTATAGTTTCAAAAAGGAATCGGCTGTCGATGAGTTTTATGGATCGTGCTCAAGAAACTAAGAGTTTAGTTGCTGCCAAGTTGTTTCGGATTATGGCAGAGAAAAGAACAAATTTATGCCTGTCAGCGGATACTACAAATTCCATGGAACTTCTTGAATTGGCATCCAAAGTTGGACCTCACATTTGCTTACTGAAAATTCATATTGATATAATAAAGGATTTTAGTAAAGATTTTATCACAAACTTGGTTGCTCTCACAAAAGAACATAACTTTTTGATATTAGAAGACAGGTATTGAATATTTTAATAATTATTATTTCTATTGTGACATGATTCAATGTTCGTCTTAAAATGAGCTTTCACTTTCAGAAAATTTGCAGATATTGGCCATGTGGTTAAATTGCAATATTCACAAGGAGTACATGAAATATCTTCTTGGGCAGATCTAGTGACTGTCCATCCTATACCTGGACCAGGCATCATCAGTGGATTAAAGGCTGCACTGGAAGAATTGAGTCATCAAGACAGAGGATGTTTTATTGTGGTAGAAATGAGTTCTCAAGGCAATTTGAACTCTGCAGATTATAAAACTGGTCAGTACACATTTTTTATATTCAGAAATTGGAAAAGGCATTTCCATAGGACAGTATTGTTAACAGTGCTTGAAGAGGTGTGCGAGTGCTGCAATTGTTTATTTCATACAAGTTTTAATTTTCCATAATGCATCAGTCTGGATGTGCATGCAATGCATCACTATAATTAGATTCTTTATACATGTAAACACTACAAAGAGGAGTTTTTTTGTTTGTTTTTTTATCGTTCATATACATTGATTTCTTGCAGCTGCAGTGAAGCTTGCCATGACTCATTCTGACTTCGTGGTTGGAATAGTTTGCCAATCATCTTCACTTGTGCCTGATCCAGGATTAATTCAATTAACTCCAGGTGTCAAGCTTGATAAAGGCAGTGATACATTAGGGCAACAGTATAATTCACCAGAACATGTTGTTCTAAATGGGGCTGATGTTGCTGTTGTTGGCAGAGGAATAACGGAGGCACAAGATATAATTGGCACTGCCAAAGAATTTCAAACCAGATTGTGGGAGGCATATGAAAAAAGAATTTCCCCAAAGGAATAACAAAAATTTATTGTGGGAGTCACATTCCAGTGGGCCTAGACTCTAGGCTCATATTTGCATGAAATATATTAATATTGTTATTTACATTACGTAAATTGAACATGTTTTTTGTTATTGAATTCAAATATTAACACAATTGTTGAATCTCTTTTTTGAAGGTTACTAAATGGGTGATGTTTTCAGACAGAAATGGATTTTTGATATTCGTAAATGTAAAGTTTGGGAAAGGATTTCGACGTGATGTAAAATGGTGGCAAGGCAAAGTTTATAGACATATGATAACTGACAATAAGATGTTGGACTGAGAAGGTATGAAGCTATTGTGAACTAATTAGAACTTACAGTATTGAGCCTGACAATAATGACATTTTTGATAATTATTTTTTTGACATATGCTTAGAACAATGTTGACATGCCCATTACCCTAAAGAGTATTTGTTTATAGAACTTTTTAACGAAATAGGCTGTGATGTTTCAACATACATATTGCTCATTCCATTTTTATATTAGTTTTAAAAGCTGAATGTGCCTTTGTAACACTGAACTTTTATAATGCAATTTTTTGAGACTGAATAAATATATTTCAATGTCTGTGTGCCTTTTTCCCCATATCCCTTTACATTGCACTCGGTGGAAAGCCACTTCTTAGCAATTTGCGCGCGACTGTGACCATGTTCAATTATAAACACCGTATTCTATGAACCGTCGGCGGCCATCTTGTTTCCGTACACGGAGAGGGAGAGGCTTCGAGTTACCGCATCTAATCGCATCACGTTGGCCATCAATGCTTTCAACCAACAAATTGCCACACATTAAATCTCAAATGTTTCACAAACAACTCTTTTTTTTGCCAAATTCACAAAGTTTTATTCAGGTTAGGGATCTTGTTTAGTAAAAGAAAGAAAAAAAAAGCAATTCATTCTCAATACAGACTTTAATCATCATTACATAAGCAACACTGAGGTGTACGGGTCATAAAGAATGCAAACTATAAACAACAATAGGTACTCAATTTATATATACCTCAAGCAGAGATATACCACAGACATTCACACAGGGAAGCAAGCATTCTTGTAGACTGGAAGAAAAAAAAAGCGTAATATTTAATTATGTCAGTCAGAATGTTTTGTACTATCTCAAGGAATTTTTGTATATTCACAGAATATGATCACTGGTAAGACTACAATACATGCCAAGAATTCTTGACGTCGACTATTACAGTTCTCCTCAAACTTGCACACAATCATCCATGCTGTATGAGTAAATATTTAGATGCAATTGTTTGGTTTTGGTATAAAGCGAAATGTACTAAATTAAATTGCATTGCATGCGGGAGATTGTTTCCCATGTCTGAAAAGTTGCTCATGGGAAGGTTGTATTGGCACCTTGATGGCAGGATTGTATGTTTAGTTTCTTGTATCATATCGCTGACTTTCAAAACATCCTGATTCTGTTCTTTACTTTAAAATATTCTGCTATTCAATCTCAACCTGTGATGCAGAGCTGAGTTTATACGGCATTAATACACTAGCCAACATCAGCATGCTGGCAATACACTAACACTTACTAAAAATAATACTTTGGAATTCCAGAGGAAAAGCCATCTACATTAAAAAAAACTGCATAGATATCTGAATACTTGAGTATGTCCTCCAGAAAACATTCTTCCCTTTGCTTAAAATACATGTAAAATGCTTATGAGTATTTCTTGAGAAACATTCCTGTTCCATACAATTAAAGGCTCTTGATCTCCAGTACACAAGAGACTCGCGGAAGCCTTAATACAATATAACAAATCAAAATTTACAGACCACAAAGTGATAAAATACTAGGCCTACTAACTAGACAAATGGCACAGTATAACTTAAAAAAGTATATATAAAACTAATAGGTAATTTTCACAACCAACATTCCAGAAAAATAAATAGAAACAAAAACAGATCTGATATAATGCTGTTGTGTCTTATTCTATGGGTAACTGACAGCTGTACCCATTGTCTCGCATTACTTTATACACGTGATTTTCAATGGTTCAGTACTCAGGTAAACCATCAAGACAATGGTGAAATAATTTGTTGCATATATTTTTGTGAGGTATTTTTTACGTCAATACGCCCTATTGATAAAATGTCACTATTATTCCAAAGACCCTAATTACCGAAATACAACACAAGTGTTACAAATTTGGGGTCTTGAATACAGAATTGCTGCATCTATTGGCTGTACTATAGGTGAAGCTATCCTACAGGCTAGCAATTTTGCAGGTATTACAAAGAGGTCAGACGCCATCAGTCTTGCATGGCTTGCCTAAGCCATCTTTGCTATTGTTTTCTAGAAGAACTTTCACACACAAGGGCGTAACATACTAAAATGCATCCTTAGCAGCAGATACAAACGCCAGGAGATCCGAGTTCAGAAGGCTGGGAACATTGGCATAGTTCCCATTGGCTGACATTCAGGAGAGCAGAGGAGGAGGTTGTTCGGCAGAAACAGCAGCCACAGGAAGCTGAGTAGGAGTATGTTGTGGCTGTGGAGCATGCTGGCTAAGCTCAGCTTTCACACGGCGAGCAATGTGACTGCGTGTGTGCTTACGCAAATGATCTTTGCGATAAAAGCCCTTCCCACATTCAGTGCAGATATGCCGCTTTTCACCTGAATGTATCACAAAATGCAAAGTCAGCTGTTCCTTTCGTTTAAATGCTTTGAGGCAAACTGTGCAAACATACGGACGTTCAGGATTGTGACTCTGCTTGTGACGTGTCAGATGATCTTTACGTTTCAGACCTGCTCCACAGATGTCGCACACAAAGCGACGTTCAAGTGTATGACCTAATAAATGCTGTTCCAGAAGTTCCTTTTCTGGGTAGGCCATGTGACACTCAGGGCAGCAGTATAAAGTAGATCCATCCAAAGCAGTTGTAAGGCGAATTTCACCTGGTTTAGGTCTGGGCTTCTTTTCTTTGCTTGCCTTCTTCTTCTTCTTTTTCTTTGCACCTCCAGGAACTGGAGCACTGCCTACAACCCCTGGTGTGGCAGAGGAGGCAACACCTAACCCTGGGCCACTCGCATTAACAGCCATTTCTGTTTCCTTTTTAATATTTTCAGCAGAGTACTTCAAAAAATGATGCAAGCTAAGGGGTAAAGTAGAAGCAGGCAAATGTGATAAATAATCAGCAACAGTAGATCCTGGGGTAGCTAAACTTTGCCAGGTTGCTGGCATTGTAGTAGTAGTTTGTGTAGCATGGTGGTGGTGATGCTGATGATGCAAGGACATGGAGCCACTATACTCAGCTTCATTTGAGCCCGGGCGATCTTCTTTATCACCACCATCTTCACGTTTCACATCTTTATCTTTCTCAGCACTTGACATTGTATTATCACGCATCATAGCTGCACACAAATCTTGAGGCTGCATATCACCTCCATGGTATGTAGCTCGTTTGTCAGCAAGCTGCCGGGCCTGTTGCTGTTGTTGCTGCTCTTGCAGAGAAGGAGATGAGGTAGGTCGATTTGGTGGTGGAGGTGGAGGCTGCTGCTGTGGAGGCGGCTGTGGCTGTTGCTGTTGAACTGTACCTGCTTGACTATATGGAACACCAACATTTCCTGAATAATGGTGTGTTCCACTTAAATTTGCTCCAGGATGATACTTTGAAGAATTAGGATTCATCATATTGCTAACTTGAGGCTGTCCTGCAGAATTATTACTACCATCCCCACGAGAATACTTCCCCATGTTTACAGGCATTCCTATAGGTGGATGGTGTTGGTTAAAGTGGGCTGGTCCTGGACTAGAATGATACCGAGATCCTGATCCATCGACTGCTTGAGGTGGAAGACCACCACTACCCCCATCATGAGAAAATTTAGCTGCAAATTGATGAATTGTAGGTATTGATGCTGGAAAGTGGCTGCCAAAGGGTGAAAAGTTCATTGCTATCACTTTAAAGTCTACACTTTGGTATCAGTAATACCTGAAATGTTCTTCCACATATATATGCTTGGCTTTACTTTTCTGCTGCTTCAGAAACAGATAATATGAAAAATCCAACAATTCAGCGTCATTCTTCAACATACAAGTTTGCAAACCCGAACAATGAAGCACGATTTTCTTTCGCTACTTCGCCAATGTTATCGTCATGCAAGACCTTGTTTCTTGTAATTCAGAGAGATGTTCCAAGTCACGAGCTGTACCTTCTTTAACTAACCTGAATTCCTTCTCTTAACGCGCATGTCCTGTAATAACGAAATACAAGATATTATTCAGTGCACTTATTGATATGCAAATGCGAATATACCACTATTTCTAAAACGAACTACCTTCTTCATTTCCCACACCTTTGCTACTATTTTAAGTTCATAATATGAAAATTACACAAAAAATACACCTCTTTTCGCTTCTGAAAGCTTTTCGTGAACTTAGAAAACATAACTTAATTTCAACACAAAATTTACTCAAGACATGTTTCAGCAAGCGTCATGGCCCGCGCAGAGGCACAAGATGGGTTCTCATTGGAGCCTCTTTCGAAATAAAATGTCCATATTTAGATCTCCGTCAAGCAAATAAATCACAAGGGAAAATCTTTGTTTCCACTATAAATACTCATTTATGCAAAATATACAAAATGTGAAAACAAGTAACTTACTATTTCGGAACTAGCAGTCTCATGACGTATTTCCATAAATACGCGTCTTTGACAGAAAACATAAACACCTGCTGTGCAAAGCGATATTCAGTTGTTCAGGGTAATACGCTGTAGCGATCTGAACTCTGGTGAGCAATCTGCAAATTACAGATGTAGCGGTACTTGTAAAACTTGCATGTGAAAATAAAAATTATATGTTGTTCTTATCAAAATATCCTGAAATGCTGAAGTATGAAAGATGGGTCGTATTGCAAGAAACTTTAATGTCTCATGATATATATGTATTATAAAATTTTTTTCCTACAGATAATATTGGTAGAAAACATGAACAATATTTCTAAGAAAAAGTTGCTGCATTTTGAACATAATAAATGAATTGTATTCTGGTTTCATCCACTCACTAGTTGCTATTTACTGTACAGAATTTTGTTTCAAACATTTGGTAACTGGAGTACGTAGGGCATGACAATTTTCCATGTCAATATTTCAATTTCAAACCACTGATTTTTAGAATTTAACAAGTCTAGGCTCCTGAAATTAAAATACTTTATTACACACTGTACTAATTGATATGACCATAGTATGTCTTGTTGCCAATTAAATTACTACATCCATTACACAAAGAAATGTGTTAAAATTTTTGTTTTTATGAATTAAGTTAAACACGCATGTGTATGAGTTAGTTAATAGAGTGTGATAAAAACATGAAAATTAACATTTCTTCTAGCCTAGTCCACAACAAAACAAGCAAGACTTATAATTACAAAGGAATTTGTATTAAGTTTTTCCATTTCAGTGTGTCATGAAAACTTTACTCAACACATTTACAGAGTTATAAAATATGGACATTAGCATACTGGAAACAGAAAATAAATGTCTACGTTAAGTGTTACAATAACCTAAATCATTTACACTTTCATACAAAAACTAATTGTGCAATACCAATATTCTTAACATTAAATTTTCAGCTACAGGCAATTGTTGCATTCTGTATGAATGCCTCTTAATACTTTTGGCATTCAACAACAATGAAACAGAATGCAAGATATCCTAGCAATAAATATTTTTTCCGTCATCTTTGCATGCAATGAGGCTCCCTAGAAAATAAAATTATTCTCTATATTGCGATAAGAAAACCACACAATTCAGCACTGTCTTTCCCAAAGACCATTCAACTTAGAAAATTGCAATTTATAAAGAAAACGACAGAATACCATTCTACCACAAGTAAATCAAGTAATGCTAATCATAAGGTAATCATCACATACAATACATATGAAGGTGTAATTGCACATGTGTCTCAATATAGATTTATACATACGCATCAATATGACTTTAACAATTTGTATCAAATTGCAAACTGATAGATTAAATGCAGAAACTGGCATAGCTTACTTCTACCACAAACAGCCCATTATGAAGAATCAGGAAAATGTTTGTTCCCATGATCAAAAAATATTCTCCATGATTTTGATAGAGAGAGGTGAACCATTCATTAGTAAGATAAAGTAGAAATATACACTCACAGGTCCAGTTTTCATAGTGACTGCACCAATATACACTTTCACTACAGTTCTCTCTTCTGCATAAACAAATAAGATGTGCAAAAACATTACCAAAGTCAAAATTTATTGTCTTTTTACATTCACATCTCACAAAAGAACATTTGAGCCCATGCTAAAATGTAATTTGTACTACTGTAGAGAAAACAAGGCCTGCAGACTTGCAATTGATAGCCCATACTCCTTAAAAAGTGCCACCACTAATAACCTGTAAATTCAAAAAGGAAATTCCTCTTTTAATGTAAAAAAATACAAAGAAAGAAATAGAAAAAGTATGTCTCAGAAAAGAGCCTGTACATAATTGAGACATGTTACAAACTTTGGTAGTTACATGGCAGTATCCGTTTTGGGATTTGAAATGTTTTACTGCCTTCAAGATCTTGAATTTCAACTTGACCTTCACCAACATCAAAATAAAATTCATATAATCTTAGGAGAGAAATACAATAGTTTTCATTACATATTATGGCAATTCCACAAGAACTGTGCACAATGTGCTAAAACATATCTATACAAGCAATCAAATAAAAACTTTGGACTTTGCAATATAAGTTAAAAATCTATGGCATTAAAAAAAATACAATGCTGAGTAATTTTGCTAAAAAAGTGGATTATATATAATTATATTTTACCAATCACTTCATGCTAAGCTATGTTTGCCATCACACAGTCATCTTTTGGTACATTTTCTAGTAAGTCATTTCATTGCATTACAAATATCTGCTAAATGCCACAGTATAATAATGCTATACTTTTAATTTTAAAAATTCAGTCATAACTATAAGCCCTAATGTTGTGGACCTGGCATATTAACACACAGCATTGTTAACACCATTTGTAAAACCCTTCAGAATGTGTAAAACAATAGTTCATGATGAATATACACTTCATGTCAGACCTTTGAGGTCTGTGTGATGTTCCCAAATAACTTGCATAGAAAGTTGTTTCACCTGGTCCATGCAGACAAATGTTTCTAACATCTGCAGAATGTTTTATTTAGGTCACTACTATTCTTAACAAACAGATTTCACCTCACGTTCAACACCAACCATAAGAAGTGACATTTTCCAAAACAATACCTCTGATTCTAAAGGTCTATATATAAATAATTATCTGTAAAGCTGAAACAACCATGTCAACTAGCCATAAAGAAACCCTGAATAAAAGTAAAAATATTGCGCTGTGGTTCATTACAAATCACTGGAGAGGAAAATACACAATGTATTCACTTCCTCTTCCAATGTTGTCAGCACACTTCGATATGATTTTTTATGGCCAATTCGCACTGAATTCATAGTTCATTCAGTGGTGATGTTGCAGCAACATTGCTCCTGTCTCAGCAGCTGTAGGCAAAACCACTGTTGTAACCATTGCTGCAGATGACTGCTGTTCTTGCTGTTGAGTTTGTGACTGGACCTGCTGCTGTTGCTGCTGCTGCTGTTGTTGTTGTTGCTGCTGCTGCTGCTGTTGTTGCTGCTGCTGCTGTTGTTGTTGTTGTTGCTGTTGTGCTTGCTGCTGGACTTGTTGCTGAGCCTGTGATTGGACCTGCTGCTGTTGTTGCTGTGCTTGCTGCTGATTATTCATTTCCTCTTTGATTCGTTTTGCAATGTGACTTCGAGCATGCTTTCTCAAATGATCTTTGCGATAAAATCCCTTTCCACATTCAGTACATACTTGAGTCTTCTCTCCAGAATGTATCACAAAATGAAGATTAAGATGTTCCTTGCGTTTAAAGCCTTTTAGACAGACTGTGCATATAAAAGGTCTATCAGGGTTGTGTCCAAGTTTATGCCTTTCCAAATGCTCTTTGCGCTTCAGTCCTGCCCCACAAATTTCGCAAATGAACCTCCTTTCAATTTTATGCCCCACTAAATGTTGTTCCAATAATTCTTTCTCAGGATAGGCCATATGACATTCTGGACAACAAAATAAGGTGGTTCCATCAAGAGCAGTGGCTATATGGACCTGGCCTGGCCTTGGACGACGAGGTTTCGGTGGCTTCTTCTTGTATTTCTTCTTTCTTTTAGGTTTACCAGTACCATCAGCAACTGGAACAGGCTCTGTATTTGTTCCATTAGCTGTGGCTTCAACCACTTCATGATTTGACAGTGGAGAAGATTCTATTGCAGCTTCACGTTTTATAGTTTCAGCAGAAAATTTTAAAAAATGGTGAAGGCTGAGGGGCAAGGTGGATGCAGGTAGACGTGAAAGGTAATCAGCAACAGTAGATCCTGGCGCAGCTATGCTTTGCCATGTGGCAGGCATTGCTGCAACTGTTGTGTGTTGAGAACCATTAGCATTAAAATCCTCTTGTGTTTCTTTATCTGTGTCTGTCTTCACAATTGCAACTTGTAGTGTCTCTTTGCTAGGATCCTGTGTTGCTTTTTCAATCTCCAGTGTGCCAATACCATCCCGCAAAATAAGATCCTGAGGTATATGTGCAACAACTGCAACTGGAAATGCCTGTTGCTCCTGCTTTTCAGGATCTGTTGTTACAGTAATTGTTTGGGTTTGCTGTTGTTGTTGTTGTTGTTGTTGCTGCTGCTGCTGTTGCTGTTGTAAAGTAGTTTGCGTCTGAGTTTGCGAGTTACTGCTAGCAACCTCTGCACTCCCCTGAGTTTGAGTGTTGCTGGATGCCTGCGACACTTGAATTTGAGGATTATGCACTTGCAGTTGCACTGTTTCCATACCTGCTTGCTGTTGTTGCCCACTGTAGGCCACTGTTAATATCCCTTGTGAGAACGGATGCAAAGATATGGGTGAAATGTGATACTTTGGAGATACATTATTTGCAGTACCATTGCTACCCATTGTTGCAGCATTAGGATTAACAACCTGAATTTGAACAGCCTGCTGTGTTTGACCTTCCCCAGGTTTTCCAGCAATACTAATAGGCAACGTTATCAACGTCTGTTGTGGTTGCGCATGTTGGTTATTACCCGCCCCCTGAGTGGTTGCAACTGTGAAACCGTTAGGAAGGTAATGCACTCCATCACTCAAAAACACTTGTCCACTGGTAGCCACATTATGTGAGAACTTGGCTGTAGTCAACTGATGCACAGTAGCTGTAGGAATTGACCCTGCAAAGGGTGTTCCAATCGGTGTAAAGCTCATGGTGGGGTCTTCAGGCTTCAACACACACACACCTGTAATATGCAAAAAGTATCATAATGTTAGTTAAAAACTATTTAACAGTATTCAAATTGTAACTACTATTTATTTCCTGTTAGTCATAACTAGCCCAAGCATCTCAATGAAAATTAGCACATTTTAAAAATATTATACAGGTTACTTCCCATAAAATTATTTAATATATTCATATACAACATAAAATTTGAACGATTTCTATTATTTTAGTAATCTGGCAAGCTTCAGGATGTACTGAGACCTACTTACCTCAAAATAAGTAGCACTCTGGAAGATGACTGCCATTAAGGTGCAACAACGTCATCTGAAATACGCAAAATTCACTTTAATTCACTCGTTATAGGTCTCACCTCTAACATCTTACTGAATTTTTGCACTATTTTCAGCTTATGTTCATTATTCTTATGGTTGTGTCACTACATAATCCGTTGTCTCCCAAAATAGGGTCACAAGATGGCATTAAAACCCACGACAAATATTACTTTCGCGTGGTTATTAGTGTGATAAAACTCTATACCATACCTTTCTAGAGTATCCATCGTTATACGAGAGGTTAGTATTTCTCGTGAAATCTCACAATAGTTGTAAAACACAACAGTTCAAGCAAATGACAACAAACACGAAAACGAAAACACCTGCTGTGCACGACGATATTGCGTTGTTTTCATTTCGATACTCTCGAAAGTCTTTCGTATCGAAAGTTTTGAATTCGAGTTATTGGTTTGGTACTTTTCCCGCGTCATCCAAATAGTCCCGATTTTATAAAAGAACGTAGCATATTTACCAAGTAATTAGAGTTCATTTTTCTTTAATTTAAACAAATAGCCAATTCATCTTTAATATCACATAACTTAACGGTAATTCGGCATTTTCATTCTTAAAAACAATATTGTAACAATGCATTCGGGCAATGGATAATTTGTCGGTAATAGTTTATAAAAGATTGTGGATAATTGTAACAATGGATTGTTTAAAAGAAGGAAAGAAATCTTTGCTTTTCATTTTTATATTAAGCAGTTTTTGCTGCAACTCTTCTCAGGGAATAAATGTGGTCAATTAAATTTATGAGAGGCATTGCATAACTTTTATTTTCACATAAATTACATAGTATATTACATAATAGACATCAAGACAAGGCTTCTAGATCTTCAGAACACTTACCACACATTAAATACAATGTTTACATGTCATACCAGAGAAAAATGTCATTTCAATTATGATTAAATGTTTTAAATTTACATACACAATTTGGGCTTATTCCTTTAGGGTTGTATAACACTGCACTGAGTATATACAGTAATAGTACTTTTAATACACCATAAATTCTAGAGCATAGCAATTTATTTTCACACATTAAAATTAATTCAAAATAAAGAATTAAAATCTTCCTTTTGCTATTTGCATTCCGTATATCGAGGAAATGACATATTTCTAACAACACTAGTTTAAACACCTATGAGAGCATTTTCTTTCAAAATTAACATACTGATTAAGCTAATCGGAAAATTTGAATTTACATTATCACGACAGACCAGCTAACTTGTTTTTGGTTTGCTTATTTCTATTGCTCTTAAGAGTAGAAAAGATTTCATACATTTTTTGAAAGTCTACGTATCAGACCACTCATCAAATTCTCACCAAAAAAATTCCAATACAAAAATATTAACAATGTTGAATAATGTAGTTATGTGGAAGATAAATTCAAAGGTTTTTAACTCAACATTGCTGGTGTTACAATTGAACAGAAATCAGTACACTTCATGTCCGCCACGTTGCATTCGTTCCATATACAGAGCAAAGAGAAGTTTATTATTTTCATAATAAAAAGGATTATCCGTGGCACCAAGGTCTGGACTATATAATGATAAAACTTGTTCACTCATCCAACCATTAACTGAAGAAGACGATTCATTGCTATTTTCCCCATTGTGAAAATCGAAATGCTTTACACCAGGCTGAATGACATTTTCAGGCATAGTTGAAAACGGCAATTGCAGTGGATCTGAGGAATGACTTAATACATTCACATCTCCTGAGTGGCAATCTTCAAATGCTCCATCCTGTAACATAATTAAATTCGGAATCAGGTGTGTGAAAGTGGTTCACTGAAGTCACACTCTAATACAATTTATGTTTCAGAATTTAAATGGTGTGCACAGAGATTTTAACTTACTAAGAAGCACAACAAAGAATATCATTTACATACAGAACAAAAGAGAAGAACTAACCTGTTTAAAATTTGAATGCTCTGGGTGAACTAAGCCATTACAACAACTTCCATTGTTTATGTGGAGGTTATTAATACGTTTTGATAACGGCATAAAATCACAACACTCTTCTTCACAGTTGTTGCTACGAACACGCTTCCTAGAAATTAAAAAAATGTTATTCAATGGTAATTCGAGAAAATTCAACGACATATTGAATGAAATCAACTATCAGTCAACCTTGTCATATTTCTTTCACTTAAAACACAACGGAACTGTGCATTAACATCGCTACTGAATGTAGACCACATTCTAAACAAACATGCGTTTACGAGAAAATTTTAAGTGCCGTATGTCCAAAAGTAACTGGAATACAAAACTGCAAAACACTGGTGACTGTATTATTGAATGTAGGTAGCTCACCTATTGCTTGACAACGCTTGAGACATCTTTCTTAATTCCTATGTTCTATTTACTACAAAAAGGTTTCGAACAATGCCCACACATTGTCATCGCATGTACCCAATTATTTGACTCATATTCAGTCCACATTGGCACACACACCACAAATAGCAGAGGAGGTGGCCATTAGTAAAAAGTTCCTCGGTGCTGCTATCTGTAGGAATTGGTAGGAATACACACTGAATCCGAACCATTTAAATCAGTTTTACTTGTAAGAACTGATTTTAAAAAATTAACATCGGTTTTTATTCATCATAAATTAGGCTTAAATTTCCATTTTTTGTAAAATATGGCATTTTATTACGAAAGAGTAATAAGTAAATTCATTAAGATATAATTAATCAATGGCAAATTTTAAACTATGAAGACTATAGAAAAAGGCTCCACAGCTATTGACATTTTAAAAATTGTAATTATTAAGAAATGTGTTATAGACATGTAAGTAATAAAAAAGAAGGTAATTTAATTATATAATAGCTTTTTTTTCGTGTACGTAGTATAAATTGTTGAAATGCTGCTAAAAGTCGATTTTGACGGAAATAAGAAATTTAAAAGATCCCCCTCCCCCCTAAAACGTATGTTTGTCCTCCATATTACTGTGGTCAACACTAGCGCCTAAACCGTAGGACTTTCTCCTAAATGAACGTTCTCTGATCGACCTGACTGTCCTCGATGTTCTGCAAATTTGAAATTAATTTTAAATTTTTTGAAGTAGCCTACTCAACAGTCGCATACTAATGTGTGAGGGGAGAGTGGTGCGTGAGGGGGTGGGTACCAAAAAATGATTTGATACCAAAAAGTCTATTGACAGCAAAACGACTGTCTGCCCGTCTGTGTATCCGTCTATGGCCAACGCTAGTGCCTAAATCGTTCAGTCGGTTTTCTCGAAAACAGACATTCTTCGATAGATCTGACGAACCCCAGGGAATTTCAAACGGATATTTTGGTTTTTGAGAGTACTGTACATGAAGCCTCAAATATTTCAAATTTTTCTCAAAAATGGCTCCAATTTTTACTTTCCCGCATACATGTATGTACAGAGTAATAAAGGGATAGTTATATAATGCTGCGGAAAATCGATTACGAGATATCAAAGGAAATACACGTTTTGGGTTCCCCTGATATCGAAAAAGTGTTGTTTTTTTTAACGTCCGTCGGTGCGTGTGTAGTCTGTGAGCACTACTAGCGCCTAAACCATGCGTAGGATTTTTTCCAAATTCAAGAAACCTCTGCCCAACCACCTGAACCGAAACTTTGAGATTTTGAAAAACATTCTTCAAAATTAGGGGGTACTTTACATTTACCCCTCCGATCATTTTCAAAATTTTGTCAGAAACTGCTCTAATTTTTTTCTTTACATTTCTTGGAAGAATGAAGTAAAACACATAAAAGTGGCAGAGGACCTATTTTCACGGTTAACTCTGAATTTTCGAAAATTTCAAAAGTATGACATTTTCGGTGTCTTCCTACAACTACAAACTAAAATATAGAGTTTTCCTGCAAATAAAATTTGTTTTCTATAATGAGTTCTTTCATTAAGGTCATGTAAATTTGAGTATTTTCGCGCAATATTGAGTAAAATACGTGCAATTTTAAAAAATTACAAAAACAAGGCTATCTCTCCAAACGTTTTCTTTAAACTTTTGGTAGAGATAGTACTAAATGTTTTCTCTATAATATAACATAAACGCCATATTGCTGTATTCTTTTTTTTAAAGTTAATTTCGGCGTATTTTTTGATATTTCAAAAATTATACATATATATATATATATATATATATATATATATATATATATATATATATATAAATTTCACAAGCTCTTAACGTTCACATTTCCAGCAATTTGCGAACACTATTGTATTTGTGAGTAAAGGTGCTTCAAATGACTTCCAATAAAGTTTTTCGAAAACTCAAAAATGTGAGGCGAAAAAGAGCTTCAAATTTCGAATTTACAGATAAACGCAATCTTCTTAAAAACAGCTCCACATTTTTCAAACAAAATTTGCCATTTAGGACGAGGTTTTACTGTTTTTTAATATTCTTAAAATAATATTTCCGTTCTACTATTAGGAAACCGAAATATTAATTTTTTTTAAATGTACTTGGGCGGTGAGAGAAGGCAGCCGGCAACAGTATGTGGTAAGTCCGAATAGCTAGCGGAGACCAAACGAAATAGAAAACAAATACGGAAAAGTCTGTGCCATTCTGTAGCACCACTAGTTATATTTAAATCTGATTTTACGTTAACATTATGACAGATACAGTGGATGAACTACTAATGCTACGTACACTGTCTTCACGACGTAGAAAAGAAATTTTGGACAATAGTCAACCTACTTCTATATTATTTACGGTTACACAGGTGGCGAGAAAAGTGAAAGAAAATTCAATCCTTCGTGGTACGATTCACAGAAATGGCTAATAGGAAGTGAAGTTAAAGCTAAGCTTTATTGTTGGCCATGTCTTTTATTGTCAATTAAGTACTTGGAATAATGGTGGATATTTTGACATGAAAAATTAATCAAAACCTATACAAAAACATATGTCAAAAGATCACATGTAATTCAATGAATCTTAAACTCATGGAAAAATTTCATCACATATCTGAATGATTGTCAAAACAACACAATCTCGCATCACAGCTAGAAATTAAGAAAGTGGATAAAAATATACAAATTAAGAGGAGACATACATATCACAAAATTGTTGTGTGAAGCAAAAGTTAGCTTTTGTGGTCATGATGGGGTCACTAAACTGCGGAAATTTCCAAGAGATTGTAACTCGTCTTTTTTGCTATAATGATGATCTTCAACAACATTGGAAGGAATTCGGAAGAGATTTTGCTGATCTGTCGAAAACTATCCAGAACAAGTTAATTGAATGTATTTATGAAGATGTAAAGTGCCAAATGACAGAAGAAATTATGGAAGCATCGTTCTTTTCGGTGAAGTATGTTGATATGCTGGACATTACAGAAATATAACAACTAACAATTAACCATTGTTTCTAACCAATTTTTCTACCTACCTGTTGGCTACAGACGGACTGCTTGCTGACTCTTTCAACCCATAATACGCCACAGCTCAGAGTACTTTGTCTCTCCCGCATGGTCCTGAGCAATGTGTTTGTGGCCGAAGGGTTTCGATTCTCAATGCGGTGCAGGGAGGCATGCGAATAGAAGCCGCACCCATACACCTTCCAACGTTCAGAGAAGCAGGAGCGAGGCAATTCCCCTGCAGCCTACGCCATAAGAGGCAAGCTACCCCAATAACGAATTCTACGCTGACTACTGAAGCCCCTCCCCTTCACTGTGTGGCTGCCACGACGAAACCGCAAGTCACAGGGAGAGAGCGTTCGTCCCATCAAGAATATCTCGCGTCTCTCAGCTAACTGCATTAAATTCACAGGAGCTCCGTTTTATAAAGTTTTCTTTTGCTGAAGGACATGATAAACTATTCCGTGTCGCCGTTGGAGAGGTTCCGATTATGCTGTGTAAAATGACATTTAACATCACGGGCCCTGAGAAATTTTATACTTACGGCCTGATTTCAGCTTGTGTAGGTTCCGGTTTAGACACATTTTACTGTATATGCCTATATAAATGATTTTCGAAGGCTTTATGTGTCATTTTAAAATACACTATTATCTTACAAGTAGGGGTCGGACTTTAATGACATGATATTTTTTTTTCTTTTGACTTTAGAACAATGGCTTTTAGTATATATTGCAAAATGTTACAAAATGAAGTGACCTATTCATATGACTTTTTTTGCATTTTTCGTTGTTTTCGATTAATGAACCAATTTTTACCTTTTCCATCACTTTAAAGCATTTATTTTCATGAAAAGACAGCAGTGGATAAATTATAATCGATCAATGGGATTCTAAGCAGAACACGGAAAACGTAGAAGTGAAACTTCATAATGAGGAAAACAGAACGGAATAGAGTTGGGCTAAGGTTTTTGGGGAGGTCTGTATTAAACGGTTTAGAAAACGCTTCCCGCGCAATGCAGTCGGTACACGCTCCTTTGAAGGGACAGTGATGCTCCGCTTCTTCAAATGGACAGTGATCCTTCCCTGGGCCTCCGCAAAGGGACAGTCATCTTTCTCTATTTCAAAGAAAGGAGAAAGATCTTTCACTACTTCAAAGGTACTGTGATCCCTTTCTATTTCAAAGGGACAGAGATCCTTCACTACTTCAAAGCGACAATGATCCTTCTCTATGTCCCTTCAAAGGGGCACTGACCCTTCGCTACATCCCTTCAAAGAGACAGTGATTCTTCCTTGTTTGAAAGGGACAGTGATCCTTAGCTAATTCAAAGGGACAGTGATCATTCGCAATACCCCTTCAAAGGGGTAGACATCATTCGCTCTGCCGCTTCAAAGAGACAGAGATCCTTCGTTCTGCTGTTACAAAGGGACAGAAATCCTTCGCTATATTCCTTCAAAGAGAGAGTCATTCTTCCTTACTTGAAAGAGACAGTGATCTTTCGCTACTTCAAAGGGACAGTAATTCCTTACTACTTCACAGAAACAGTGATCCATCGTCTTACCCCTTTACAAATGCAGTGATCCTTCGCTACTTCAAAGGGACAATGGTTCTTCGCTGCCGAAAAGGGGCAGTGATCTTTGGCTACTTCAAAGGGACAGTGACCCTTCACTGCTTCCAAATGACAGTGATTCTCCGCTACTTCAAAGGAACAGTGATTCTCACTACTAAAACAATACCGTGATCCTTCGGTATGCTCCTTCAAAGGAACAGTATTCCTTCGCTACTTCAAAGAGTCAGTGGTGCTTTGCTACTTAAAAGGGACAGTGATCCTTCACTGCTTCCAAAGGACAGTGATTCTCCGCTACTTCAAAGGAACAGTGATTCTCGCTACTAAAATAATACCGTGATCCTTCAGTACGCTGCTTCAAAGGAACAGTATTCCTTTGCTACTTCAAAGAGTCAGTGGTGCATTGCTACTTAAAAGGGACAGTGATCCTGGGATAAGCGAGACCATGTTGGGCGACGAGGTTTCGGCCTTTGGTTCCACGATTAACTTGAAATATCCATGAGGCTCTCTAACATACAATTCCAACGCATTTTATATCAAAGTAATTGTTTGCCTAAACTTTTAACTTGATGTTTGAGACGCTTCGTTACGTGTGATGGCGAGCGTTAG